AATGAATAAATAAATAAATAGACCCTGAAGCCCATCTCCCTTTCAGGCTGGGCCTTTGCTCATGCCAGTTTTTAGCCTGCAGTTTTCTTCCCCCTTCACTCCTACCTCCCTGGTGAGCTTTTAGTAATTTCAAAGATAACTCACCATCCCATCTTCTGAGAAGTCCTCTGATACATTGAGGCATAAATAAGAAATTTATCTTAGTGTTGTCTTAATGTTTTAAAAAATTATGCTCTTTATTATAATATTTAAGTCTTAATTAATGTTCATTGCTTGCTTTGCTGTCCATTAGAAGGTATTCTGGGCATCAGGGAAGGATGTCCATAAATAAATGGACAAGGTACTTATTTTTAATGAGTACATTTTCAAGGGGAGGAGTGAGAGAAAGTAAATAAGCCATATTATTTTGGATAATGATAAGTGGCAGTAAAATTAAGTAAAATCAGATGGTGTGGTAATATAATAGAAGGAGTGTGTGTGTGTCTGTGTTTGTGTGTGTGGAGGTTGTGAGACTTGAGGTGGTTAGGACACTTGAGTTGCAGTGAGATATGCTGTTTGAGTTCAGACTTTAAAGATATCAGTCCACTGTGCAGAGATCTGTGAGAGCATGTGCTCGGGGTGTTCATGGAGCAGGAAACAGGCAGGGTATTGAAGCAGGAGCCAGTGAGCCGGGAGGGGGTCCTGCGTGATGTAACATCAGACAGGTAGGTGGGACCAGAGTACATCAGACCTCCAAGGTAAGATTTGTCACTGTTAAGTGCAGGGGTGAGAAGCTACTGGAAGACTTTGAGTGAGGGAGTGAGGTGATCTTGTTTGTATCATTCTGGTTTGTAACAGAGAGAGAAGTGCAGAGGGCAGAGACTAGTTAGCCGTTGTTGCCCCTGCCTAAGTGGAGAGCGTTGGTAGCTTGCATTGCTGTGGTATGGTTAGTGTCCACGGAGAGAAGTGGAATGACTTGGCACACATGTTAAAGGTGGGAACGTAAGACTTGCTGATAGATTGGGCATGCTGCATTTAGGGAAAGGCGGGTCCAAGAAAGTTTGACCCTGGACTCCCTATGGCCATGGTAAGAGCACAGCGAGGGCATTCTGAGCAAGCGCAAGAGAGGACCTACCTCAGTACTCTAATTATTATTGTTTTGGTCTCCTTTAGATTGTGTGCCAGTCTTCATTTTATTTCTTGACTTTAGCATAGTACATGGTAAATAAATGATTACTTGTAGATTTCAATTTACAGTGTGGTTTTACTCATATTTAGAAGGCTTTTGCACCACCGACCCTTGCCACTTGTTTATTAATTTAAGGGATAGAATCCTGTGAATAATAAATAAAGCAGGGTGAAAGGGTAAGTCCATTTTGCACAGGTTCCTAGTACAGCCTAAGGCATGGTGCTGTGGTGAGAAGTGCTGGCTATTGGATTCAGAAGGCCTGCATCATCGAGCTTCGGCTCTGCTACTTTATCCTTCTGAAGAGGTCATGGGCCAACTCCCTGGTCCCCAAAGCAGTTTTTTAGCTGTCATCGATGGGTTCCATCACCAAATTTCTTAGGCAGTATTTTTGTGAGCAGCAGGTCTTTTGTAATGTAAAAAAAGGTACTTTGTAAGTGTTATTAAAATAACTGGATTATTCACTTCACTACTCAGTTTCAAAGGTGATTAGATCAGAGTGTCAAGAAATTTATATTCTAGCAGTGGCATATGAATGTGCACAAACTGGAGAAGACACAGCCTGCTGGAAAATGGGATTTTTTTTTTTTTTTTAGAAATACATAGGAAATTAATTTTGTCTGGCTTTGTTCTCTTATCCTTTCCAGATAAATTCAGTGATTCCATAGAGCTATTAATCAATTCCCTTTCTTTAAAATCTAATAATCATATCTAGCTAGTAGTACATTTATGCCTACTAGTAGATATGGAATAATGTAGTGTAGATAGAGGAATAATGTATAACTAGTATTGCTTGTGGGCTTTTTCTTTTTTAACATGAATATATTGATGAAATAAATCTGGCAAAATTTCCTCGTGGTGATTATTCATTCTATTTTTACATCTAGGGTAAAAATCATGGTAAGAAACTCCGAAACTACTATGCAGCCAATAGCTGTCCCCCTCCTGCAAGAATGAGTAGCGCCGTGGAGCCTGCAGCTGCTCCTGTTGTTCCGGTCCCTGCACAGGTAAGACGTGAGCCAGGAGAAGCAGTGGAGTCCTTCTTGGTACCTCTGACTTCTTGAACTGTGCACTGGCTTTATTGTACATCCAAATCTTGGCGCTTTGATATGTATGAAACAAATATTGTAATATGAGTCTTTCTCTATGAGAAAGTCTTTGAGTAATATGAGTCTTTCTATACAGTTCTCAGAATTCCGGGGTAAATAACCCTGAATAAAAAGAGGGACTTTAAAAAAAAATATTGCCATCAATTGTACCTATGTTGTAGCTTCCATTTACAAGATATTTCTTGAGATTGCCCTTTGTACCTCCCTCTGTACCTCTGTACAGAGAGCTAGTGTAAGTGCTGTGTGGACTTTGGAATTATGAGACACATTTGGGAGGCCAGTTCCTTTTGCCCTTTGAAAGTCAGAGCAAGTGATTTAAGCAAGATAGTCCTGTACTTTAGTAGCCTCTGAAATATGGACTGTACTCTTGAACTTATCTTTGAAATGTTGTCTGCCCACAGAACAACAGAAGGAATAATTACTGAGTATGTTGGCCTAGTGTTTTCTCAGGCACTTTTTTTCCCTTTTGGACTGGGTCTAAGACAAGGTGAGGGATTCCTTGATTTGGACACAAAGTTTAAGGAGGAGTCTTCATGCTATGTCTAAAAATCTGAGCTAGTAATTTGAAGACAATATGCAGTGCGACAGCCCTTGTTGGATTCCTCTAATTTTGTTTGGTGAAATTCTCCATAGTTTTCAGGATTTTTTTTTTAGCTATGTTTTTTATTCTCTTTAAAAAAAAATTAAAACATGTTTACAGCGAGAGAAACTTCCTGAAGGCAAACCTATTGATTGGCATAAATGAAAAGTAGTTAGTAAAAGATGAATGTACCTCAGAAAGGGATGCCAGTAAGAATCTTTTTTTTTTTTTAAAGGCAGAAGGGTTTTTTTTTTTTTTTTTTTTTCCTCCGAATGCCTTCAGGGCATGATTGGCTGGCTTGAGTTGTGGGGATAGAACCACAGCAACCTGAGCCTGACAGCTTTGTTGAAGCAGCCACTTAAAGAACTGAGCTAAGGGGCAGGCCCCCATAAGGATTTTTTTTTTTTTGGCTCCTCAAATGCCTTCAGGGCACTTTTGGCGGGCTGGAGTGTTGTGGGGATCGAACTACAGCAACCTGAGGCTGACAGCTTTGTGGAAGCAGCCACTTAAAGAACAGTGCTAGGGCCAGGCCCCCAACCAGTAAGAATCTTTACAATGACAGAACTCATAATTTCAAGACTTTAAAAGTGTAAAGGATAAAATTGATCATTATTTATACTACAATCTACCAATAAAAATCATTATAATTTTGGTAGCTGAACCAAACTTAGAAGTAGGACAAGTTGCCAAGGCACAGAAAAGATGTGAATGTGTTCCAGTAAAATTTTATTTATGGAAAAAAAATTAAAGCAAACAAAATAACTCATACTCAACAGAAGTCTACTAATTAAATATTTAGCAAATTCAAAATTAATTTTAAAAATAGCGAATAAATGCAAAAACTTAGGAGAAGTATTACTGATTTTCCTTTTGCTTTGGGCTGCTGGATGACTTGGTATAGCCGCAGTGCCAATCCAATCTTTAGGTACAATCTTTGATATTTTGTTCATTAATTTTTTTCTATTTGATTTCACTCTTCAAAATACTTTATTGAAATATGATTTGTTTTAATTACTGAAGTTTTTGATGTTCCCTTAAATTCGTGCGTCAGTAAATGTCTCATTCAGTTAAGACTTGGGTGTGAGCCTTGTTCAAAGTGTGGCCCCTGGGCTGGCAGTTTGAGCCTCATTAGCAATTTATCAGGAGCTCAAGAAAGCTATGTAATTTTCTTCAGTGTTCCGTATTTTGTAAAGTGGTAAAGCAAGAACTTCTTTGGATCTTCTGAGCCACCATGGCCTAATTTTACTTTCCTTGAGGTCAGTGTTTTAGAACTTATGATGTGGATCTCAATTCCAGCTGTTGTTTCTCTCATCGATTTTTCTGGAAAATGAGATGTATTAAAATGGAATAAGAGGGCTTGAAAACACCTAGAGATTTTCAAGCTGAGGAGATTTCACACTGTTGTTTCCTAAAGGCCACGCTAGAATTGGATGGGTCGTCCCTGTCAGGGATTGTTTCTGCCCGGCTCCACCCTTCTGGGAGAACAACCTGTGCTGCTTTGTATAGCAGAGCCCTTGTGATTTTTGAAAGCAGCTATTATATACCCAGAGAATTTTCTCTTCTAGGTCAAACAGTTCTGTTTTCTTCAATTGTTCCTTAAATGATATGATCACCGAATCTTTATCACATGTATTATTCTCCTCTAGCCAAAACCTACTTTGTAACTTTTTGTTAGCACAAACATAACTGAATGCGTTCCAGGCATTGTTGGATTTTCTTTAGTGTGCTATTCCCCAACCTTTAACAGATCGCCAGGGTCAGCTAGTTATTTTTTTCCTAATTATATTACATTGGTACCTAGTTTATATTCTTTATGAGGGCAGGGGCTTTACTTAAAAGAAATACATGACTGTATCCCTCTAGACAGCAAGCCCAATAAACAGTCGGCACTTAATAAATGTTTACTGACGTTTTCTGAGCAGACTCTACTTTCCTGAAAATGAGATTTTAGGCCACACCTATTTACTTACATATTAATTATTTCTTTAAATCTTTTATACTGGAGTTTTTAAACTCATCTTAAAATTTTCTTCAATTGAGATAAATAGCAGCAAGCTAATCCAAGTTTGGTACATGGCCATAGGTGAAGTTTGATTTACGAGTCTCCAAGCCTCTTTTCCCCTGGAGTTGCTTCCTTTCTTTGCAAAGCTGAGTGCTTGTGGTCTTGCTGTATCTTTTGGTTGTTTTCAGTGTTTAGAAGGGCCTTTGAGGAGAAGGAAAGGATCCGCTCCATATTTTTTTAAACTTTGCTGCTTCTTGTGTTGTCTTTGATGTCAGATGGGCTCCTTTAAGCCCGGAGGCAGAGTGATCCTCGCCACAGAGAATGACTACTGTAAACTCTGCGATGCCTCCTTCAGCTCCCCGGCTGTGGCGCAGGCTCATTATCAAGGGAAGAATCACGCCAAGAGGCTGAGGCTGGCCGAAGCTCACAGTAACTCGTTCTCGTAGGTATTGCCATTTTCTCTGAGGCCAGTGTGTTACGTGAGACAAACTGTCTTTAAAGAGAGTTGAAAGGGATCCTTGTTTAGGAGTCTCACTCTTTTAAAATTTCTTTTCTTCAGGGATTCATCGGAGGTGGGTCAACGGCGGGCCCGGAAAGAAGGGAATGAATTTAAGATGATGCCAAATAGGAGAAATATGTATACAGTCCAGAATAATTCAGGTATTGCATCTATTTTCATGTATTTGGAAATTTGCACATAGCTTCCATAAATGCTCTTATTTTTATTTCCTTTAATAATAGTGGAGGGAAAAAAAATCCATCTAGAAGGGCCAGGGAGATAGCTCACTAGAATAAGTGCTTGCCTGGCAAGCTCAAGGGCCTGAGTTCAATCCCCAGTTCCACCAAAAAAAAAAAAAAAAAAAAAAAAAAATGGAGAGCCCTGAGGAGTTTGGGTGAGTCATTATTTTGTGGTCTAGTGGTCTTTTACACTGGTGTTTATTTCAGCTTTTATTTATTTCCTACTTAGTGTATTGTACATTTCTTTTGGGTTTAAATTGTCCTATCTGTCCAGCTGGAAAATGTAAAGTGCCAGTGAAAATGGGCTGATGCTTTAAACTTGCACCGTGTTCAGTTTGCATTTCTTGGGAAAATAGAAGTAAATTTAGCAGTGGTTTTAAGCCAGGATTTTAAATCAGGACAGCAAATCACAATTTTCTAAGGTGTTCTTATAAAATGTGCATACCTGAACCATTAGGTAGATATTTTCAATGGATAAATTTTGGAGTAGGACCAAGACGTAAGTATGCTTTGAAAATGCCTCCTTAGTAATTCTGATACATGTGTTCAACCCAGAATCTCTTGTTTATTTCTATTTTTCATTTTTTAAATTTTTTTTCCATAAATTTAGTGAGAAACAAATAGCAGTGAGATAGTTTCAAACCAAATTGGTAGGATAGTTTCAATAATTAACACACTGCATACATTCTTCCTAGTGGTTAATTGCTGTACAAGATGCAGACTTGATATCTTATTTACAAACACCATTAGAACAAATCCGTCTATGCATTAAGAGAATGCAACTATATATCTATCCTAACCACTTTGAATACACAGATGCAAAATAGACATTCATCTGTATCCACTTTTTTTGTTAAGTTCCATCATTTAAATATTATAGGTGTGTAAACTCAGTAAAATATTCTAAAAGAGTCCAGTAGTCCATAATAGTATTGGGTCTTCCGCTTCACTGGCAGTGTCAGAAATTGTTGACCTGAGTCCCTTACAGCTCAACAAAACACCATGGCTTTACTTCTTATACTCATTTTTATACTTTTCTGCTGGATGGTTAAGACCAAGGTAAAGCAGGACCTATGCAACAAGAGTTGTAACTTTTGGGTCTGATAAGGTCAGTGAAATCCCCTCAGGATTTATCCTGAGATCCTGTACCTCAGATTGTAGAACCTTTGTCAGTGTCAGCCATGTAGATGAGTCACGGCCATTGCTTGGCCAATGTGCTCTCTGTGAAAGCCTGAGGGAATGTGTTCTCTCCATATGACTCTCCTTAGACACACTGTACATCATTGATCATTTTCCTCTTTGGCCCCATAATCTCCTTGATCAGAAAATTTGGGACACTACCAAGTTACGTGACATTACAGTACAAGTTCTCATATGTCCTGAGTCTTAATTGACCTTGGAAAGCTAGGGCCAAAATGTTGCCTTTCCTTGCGGCCTTCCTTTTTCTCTAATTTTGGTCTGCAAACTTAGGTTGTTAACCCTCCAGAAGACAAACTTATTGTTATTACCATACAACCTAGGCTGTTAAGCTTAACCTCACTATCTGTCTGAATATCAAACGTCTTAGGCATAACATGGAACAGGTATTTTTCATCAAGTATTGATATGTTAAATTTTAAGTCCCTACAGAATATGATAAAAAACATTTAAAAATTAGAATATATTTTAAAAAATAGGCATAAAGAATTATATATTTCTTATGATTACACATAAGTCCAAAAATCTAACCATATACAACCTTGAAGCAAGACAGTCCCACAATATTCCTTTTCCTATCTCTTGCCTTCATTCACTACCCCCTTCTTTTTGAACAATCATCTACCCGAGAGACAGCATAGCAGCAACTGGCATGTCATGACAAGCAGCCCGTATTCAGAAGACCAGAATGACAGGCACTGTAAGCATGAAACTACTATTACAGATTACCATCTTCAGTGCAGTTGCTTAGTTCACAGAATCTCTTGTTTAAAGGAATTGTGTTTTCTCATCTTTAGTAGGGACCCGAAGATTGAGGAGACCCTAGTTCTCCCTGACCTCAGTCTCTGAGAGAGCACAGGACAGCAGAGGTCATTTATGTGGCCAGTAAAACAAGACAAAGCTAAGCTGTCTGGGCAACACAGTGCAGCGTGATTAGCAAAAGTCTAATATACAAGTAATTATAACAGATACAAATTTGTTTAAGTGTCATTTAAAAAAAACAAAATTATCAGGCTGGGTAAAAGAAATTTAGCTGAAATGAAGGAAGCCAGGATAACTTAATATTAGATGAAATAAATTTTAGGATGAATATAGTATTGATTATGTGTCCAGTTTAGACTGCAATTAAATGAGGTGTCAATAATACACTTGATCTTAGCCAAAAGGCTGAGAAGCGATGAGGTGTCAATAATAAAATGTAAAAACAAACAAAAAATTTCCATGTGTATAGAAATTTTAAAAACATTTCTAAATGATTCATAGTTTAAAGAAGAATCATACTGGAATTTAAAAATTCTTAGAACCAAATACTAGTGAAACTATCTTGTCAATAATTATAAGATGTAGTGAAAATTGTGTTTTGGAAAAAAAAATTATTATACTAGGAAAAAAAAAGAAAGAAAATTAATGAAACGATAGCCCCAGAAAGTCACTAAGTAAAAAGAAGAAAAAAACTATTAGCAATGTCATCAACTTTTGTGTATGCCATTTCAATGTTTTCACATGTTATTCCTGTACAGTACAAATAGGAAGCTGGGCATGGTGGCATGCGCCTGGAATCTCAGCTCTCAGGAGGCTGAGGCAAGAGGGTGACCACAAGTTCAAGGCTAGAACAAAAAAGGATTAAATGTTGTATATTGCCTTCATTTACTAAAAGGATTAAATGTTGTATATTGCCTTCATTTACTTAGTACCATATCATATTTTAGTGTAATTAAGAGTTTTTCATAGCATAATATATATTGTCTTCATAGGTGTGTGTTCTTTTTCCTCTTCTCTTTGCCTCGGTCATGATGGAGCCAGGCTCTTGCGGTGCTAGGCAAGTGCCCCCTCCACGCTGCTCCCGCAGCCCGCTGCGTAGTCTCTCACTGCAGTCCGTACCATACTGTTTCAAGTCACATATTTTTAGGTTTTTTGTTCCACTAAAATTTTGCTTTTATAGACACCATTGAAGGGAATGTCTTGCTGGTAAAATCTCTGTGCAAACACTCTTAATGTTTTCTTAGTGTAATTTATAGAAGTAGAATTTTTAGATTAAAGGGCTAGTATAATTACAAGACTTGTAAGGCTTAGAAATTATTTTAAAAGTCGTGTTCACTTTCTTAGAGACATCTTTGGATTTGACTTTACAGTATCCTTTGTGGCAATAGTTTGGGAGTCATGTTATCTATGTAGATTGAACCTATCTAAATTTATAATTCAAAAAGCCCCATTAACTTCAACTTCATGTAAAACTAAGAATCTGTGAATTGTATTATTTGTTTTAGATTTACAGATGACAGGGAGAGGTGGTTAGAGGGCCTCCCACTAAGTGAATACTGTTTTTTTGTCTCTTGCTTTAGCAGGTCCTTATTTCAACCCTCGCTCTCGACAGAGAATTCCACGTGACCTAGCCATGTGTGTTACTCCAAGTGGCCAGTTTTACTGCTCAATGTGCAACGTTGGGGCTGGTGAAGAAGTGGAATTTCGGCAGCATTTAGAGAGCAAGCAACACAAAAGCAAGGTGTCTGAACAGCGGTACAGGAATGAGATGGAGAACCTGGGCTATGTATAGTGGCTGTCATGTTCAGATGCCTGTTTGCCTTCTGTCTACTTGCCCTGCTTTGTGATCCTTTGATCTGAGTCCACTCTTGTGCTTGATGTTAACACATGTACCCTGCAGTGGTACCACGAGATGTCGAAACCCTGGGGACGGCGGGAGGGAGGTGTGCTTAGGCCCTAACACTTTTTCAGGTCCACTGTGTCGAGCTCTTTATAGCATGTGACTTACCTACCCCATCACCCCATCAGAAATAACCTTTACCTTGGCCGAGTTCTGGTTGACTTAGAAATATGACCATTTAAAAATTCCGTCTGCTTTTGCAGTTTTAGTTTTATGTATTGTTAGGTAAAGAGTTGGGTTGAGTTCTTACTTCAGATTGCAATAAAGGCTGAGATCGATCCTCCAGGCTTCCCAGGAAACATCATCTCAATGCACTGCCCGTAGGAGATACCATCACAGTCCTTATGAGGGTCTTTTCCAGACATGGCCCCCTGTATTCTGGCCCTGCGTCACTGAACAGCGGGTTTTCTTAAATTCATCTGTTTTCAGGGTGCTTGTGTTCTTCCAAATGGCAGAACTTCATTTCCAGTCATGGGTTTCCCATATTTGACTGCCACCTCCTACTCCGCCCTCACCCTCCCAGTTGAGTAATCTTGCTAATAGGCTTATTTTCGTGCCCTAGCTGTGCCATGGGTTTTCCAAACCATGGATTTGAATGTAGGAGTTTAAGATGGGCTTGGTTTTAAAAAGAATGTTTCCCTTCTGATTTCAGAAATAATAAGATGTGTTTGCTCTTTCAATCTGGAGTTTTGTTTTCATTGATGGTAGTGTAACATACAATTTATGATTGTCTCAACCATAAGAGCTCTTGATATTTTTTTTTTTGGTAGAAATTTTTAGCGGAACCAGTCCTTACATGATATCATTTTCTGTTTGATCAGTTTGTTGATGGTTATCAAAAAGACATTAATACCATTACCTGCTGTTTTGTAGATAGAGAATAAATTTTTTTTTAAAAAGCTGGTCAAGTTTCAGTATCTCTATTTCCAGTAGGAAATTGTTTTTGTTTTTAAAATAAGAAGCCATAGTGTATATCTAGATTGCCAATGGAGTATTTAGAAGCTTCATTAATTACATTTGTATCTGTTTATTATATTTTACTTTACACAGAGAAGATAAGAGCTCATCCATATTTCTTTTGAAAGATCAGGTTCACCGGGAAGTTTATTGTGAGCAGCATCTTTGTAGGTTGGCAGATGCTTATTTGATTGCTAATGTTACTAATGAAATCTCTGGGTAACCTTGAGAATTATATAGGCAAACAGATAAAAAGGGATAATCATTGTTTCTTTTGGGTAATACTTTGGAACCATTTTAAATAGTTTAGGCCTAAATTTAAAAGTCATTTTCTGTTAAGGTAGTGGTTTATTGAAAAGTAGAATTATTTCAATTTTTTTTTTTCTCTGAGAAACAGAAAAATGAAATAATTTTGTATTTAGATTCTGTCTGGATCTGCAAACTCTTATTACAGTAAGCCTTTGTTGTAGTAGTTGAGTCTATAGTTAATTAGTTTAGGGCATTTTAAGATTTGTCTCATTGGCTAGTAGGTTTACTCTTTTTGCTGCTACATATAATTTTTTGGTATATGTTAATATAGTATTGATTTTATGATTGAAAAATCTCTTTCCTATAGGCGTGTGTACGCATTTCACACATACCACCTCCTCCCACCCCCTGCCAGAATTTCACGTGATTCCCTGGAGAGAATTTCACTCTAGATGACATTAAAGATTGTGATAGGAATTTCCTTTTTGTAAAAAAAGCCTTCATCTACTTTGAGTTTTCCTTTTGGAAATGAAATTAAAGGATTTATTTCCCTGCCCTCTTCACTAACAGTTTGAATATATGTGTACAAAAAGCAGTGGACTTAAGGGCTTGATGTTTTTTCAGGCCTTGTGTATTCAGGTTTCCAGTTTCCCAGTGCCCTTAATGGATGTTATGAATGCGTAAGTGTATTTTCTTTTAAAGAAAGAAGTTAGATTTATAGTGTTACTTCTTACTTGCTATATTTCTTTGCACTAACAAAGAACTATGTATTTGTTTTATATGATACTTTAGTACCATATTGCCTACAATGATTTTTTTCTTAATTTCCAAATTCTAGTCGGTGAATACCTTCCACGATCATTCACAGAGCTTTCATTCATATCTGAAAAACATCACAGATCTCTACGGTAGTAGGCTGTGTTTTGGGCTAGTTACATTGCAGTGTTCTCTTGTTCCACAGGTAAGAGGGTGACAGAAGTCGCCATCGCTGCATGGGACAGTTTCTTGTATTGGCACATTTTGTGTAGACAGTGTTCCTTCCTTCTCGACAGGCTGCGGTTGCCTCTGAATTAGTGAAGCGTGATCTCTGTTGATTTCATTTTGTCAAGTCCAGTCCTGCTCTGTAACATGCTTGAGGGTCTGCACCCTGGGTCCATCAGAAACCATGCCTCTTCATATGTCACGGGCAAGGGTGGACAGAGGCCAAAACAAAGAAAAACTATCAGTTAAAAAGTAGATTTTAGTAATCATCTGTAAGAATGTATAGCATCAAAGTCTCTTTTCTCTGTGACTATCTTTGTGTACATTGCCATTAAAAAACAAATTAGAAGATATTTATCAACTCTTCTAAGATATGGAGAGTGAAAGGTTATGAAGGAAAATTTCCATGTTTCAGTTAAGATTGTGTTGTATATGCCTTTAAAGTCCTTTTTAACAAAAGTTTAGATATAAAATGCAGTGTGTCCTGTAATCCCCTGGCTCCACACTGAATAGAAAATACTTTGTTAGTCTTGTCTTGGTCATGTCCTGCAACTTGTAAATACGTGCATGTGGTTTATGTTTATCTGCTTGTCTTTTATTGCACTGATTTCTGTGAAGTGGATAATTTTTTTATCATTCATTCTGAAAAAGTCCCCCACACTCTCTGTCATTATTTTCCTTTTTAATTAGTTGGTAGACTTAGGAACCTATAGGAGTTTTGAATCCCTGAGTGGGACCGAAGACTCATGGCTGAACTGATCACAGCCCTCTCACTTGATGGGTTACTGAGAGGTACCAGGTCTTCCACTACATTTTACAGAGCTGTTCTGCAGAACTCTATGCTTATTTACAGCTACCAAGTTGCAATTTGAACACAAAGGAAAGGATATATATATATATAT